AATCTTGCTACAACTCTTTAAAAAGAGCAAAGAAAATAGTTGCCATATACTTATTAGCATATAGAAAAATTCAATTATTCTAGACCATACATTTTTATCAGAAATTTTGAACACACTTTAAAAAAAGCTGACCAGAACTTATCAAAATGTTACACATACACAATATTATGTACATAACTTAGGGTACTAAGCTGCAATCTCTCTCCTACTTCTAACCCACCTTGCCCAGATCCAAAGACACATCTCCCCAACAAACAGCTGCTCTGTTCATTTATCAAAGCAAACTGCAAGCACAAGCACAGGTGCCTGGCTTTCAGAGATCTATCCAGCCAAGACTCACCCTGTAGTGTCCTGTTATCTCTTCCTAACCCTCAGCATGACTCTCTCCTTCAAGCATTCATCCAGTTTGTTATGTCCTTTCCTCAGTGGATCACTTGTCCAGTCTGCCTCACCCACTTGTACAGTACAGTCTTTTGTGGATATTGGAGAAAATTAACCAAGAGAACTGATGGAAGTGATTTCAGGTCTCTGAAGGGTGGGTGAACACGGTCAAGTCCAGTTAGCATTCTTCCAGTCATTCCAAATTAGGTATTGTTAATATCCATATGTCTGCACCCATGAGAAAGAAAGTACCAGAACACAGGCTTTAGCACATCTTTTATTAAGGTCTCATGTAACCTTCCATGCCCTCTGCACCAACCTCCTCTGGACAACAGCTCTAGTTATTCATCATGAGCTGTTGCTACACTAAGTGAATGATCCATACTGGGGAAGATGTTAGAACAGGGAAAAATGCCTATCTCTGTGCAGTTGAAGACAAATGGGCTCTTGTGAAATTATGCTTATCACAGATTCCATGAAGTGGCTGGAGGTGAGCTCCATGTTGATAAAGATTCCTCCTAGAAGCCTAAGACTTCTGGATTCTCAGTACCCCACGTCATGGTGTACTTACCCAAAGGGGCCCTGGCACCAGAAAGAGAATCCCTTTCTAAGCACTTCACCTTGTCCCATCCCTGCCCCCTGACCTCCTAGAGAACTCACTTTTCATGCCACAGTTCTGAATGCACACAAGCCTTGGCCCCTCTCCCAGGCTTTCTGTAGTCTGAGCCTAACACTATAGTGATGCATAGCAGAGCCTCAATAAATACATGCTGCTCTCCCCAAATACCTCAGTTCTACATTTCCATCTTGAGAAACACTTGGATCTAAGCAGTTTAATATCACAATTTAAACAATTATTGAGCTAGGACCCAAGTATGCAACCTTTTCTTTCAATGTTCTTCCAGTTTATTGCATGGTGTTTAATTTAGGCTGAGGGCATTTATACCTATAACATAACAAAACAAAATGATAATCAACATGAGTATAGCTTTAATTTTGCTTCATTTTACCCAGTTGCTGCAGCCAACAACTTCGTAACAAGATGACTGCTTCCCATAAATCAGACTAAGCAATTTTTTTCCAATTATTTTTTAATTCATGGGTAATCATTTCTCTTCAGCAGGTGGCAAGTTGGGGGGGGGGCTGGAAGCCAGAGAGAAAGGAGGTATGATGAACTATTAAATGATTTTTACTTGAATTTGTACCAACAAGCATTGCGGGGATAGCAGGGACAAAAATACGTCTAACAGAAGCCAGGTGGAACAGGATGTGTGATGTACATGTCAGATGCATCCAGAGCCATTTCCTGAGCCAGCTGCAATTTAGTCTAAAACAGATCGCTCCTCATTGAGATTCTCTGATTGCCTCTGCCTAATTCTCCATTTCATCATGAGGCTGTCCTTCTCTCTTTTGTCTAAGACTCCTAAGCATGACCTTGAGATTCTTCAAATAAGTGCAGTCATCTGGGACTAGATTTAGGTTGCAAAAATGCATTCCTTTGTGTATCATGTCTTGTTCCAATACTTGGAACACCCATGCCTAGAGAAATCAACTAAAAAATATTTCTCAAAGGACCCATATGTTTTGTTAAAATTTCATTCTTAAATCCATTTGCTAAGTTTTTATTAACCGCATTATATGACTGACACTGTAATATACATAAATAAGTAAGATGAGGTCCCTGACCTCAAAAGACTTCCAACCTAATAGGAAGTAGAATTCTCACCCAACTGCCAGCTCAGGCCTATGCTTGCTGACCGCCCCCTCTCAGGAAAGAGAATGCTTTCTGCCTATGCTTTTTAAATCCTTGACTCTACCTTGTTCTGTCTCTGTGGCTTATACCCGGACCCCAGCCACAACCCTCTTTACTACAACAACAGCCATCAGAGTAGCCTCCTGCTTCTATGCCGCCTTCTCCATAGGCCACACACTCCACTTTGCAAATATTCTCCTGATTGAAACCTTTCCATAGCTTCCCAGACTTCAGTGGCCCACAGGGCACAGCAGCTGGCCCTGCACTGCCCCAACCTGTCTCTTCCCACTCTTCTCACTGACTACCATCCACCCACTCCATCTGGCCTTTCACCTCCCATTCTGATGCAGCAGCATTCCCCATATCCTCTGCCTGGAGCACATCCCTCTCCGTTCTCCCCTTTCAGCTTTATGAACTTTACCTTCACTCCACTCAAGTCTCAGATCAAGTGTCCTCTCCTCAGGAAGGTTTCCCTGAACATTTCACTAAATGCTGCCCCCAAGACTTCCTATTTCATTCCACTTTCAGGATTTATTTTTCAATTACCTGATGACTGCTTCTCTCCTCCATATAACATGTAAACTGATCTTGCCAGCATCACTGGCAACTGTGTTCCAGGCTTAGAACTGTGTCTGTTTCACAGCAGGCTCTGAAAGGATCTGCAGACAGACGAACGTTCCTTACAAAGAGGAATCAAATAAGGATGGCAGCAATGTAGCAGTGTACAGTGCAGAGGGACACTTATTTTTTAGTGAGGGGAGAAGTTAGGAAAAGCTTCCAGAGAGAAGACTGGTTTAGGGTTCCTTGGCAGCAAGGCACAAATGCACTCCATGATCTAAACCTGGAAGAGGAAAATCCCCAGAGGCACAAGAGAGTTTAGGTGTGACTGAGCCTTAAAAACAGTACCTGGAGTGGCCAGAGCACCTGGGGGGATGCAGAGAGGAACACAGATAGCACAGGATGGAACTATGTCTGAGACCACAAAAAGTCATTGAAATGTTCTGAGGCTGAAACCAGTGCACTCTGACCTGCTCTTCATAAACACCAAAAAGAGATATGTGAACTCAAAAATAAACAATAAAAAATGGCATCACTTTTAAAAGGACTACATTTTCCTGTGTTTAGAGAGGAATAAAAGGACTTCAATTTTGTGAATCTGTAAATGTAAAAGAAGCTGGGGCTCAAAGTGACTCTGTGTCTCAGACGAAAGGCTGAATGAAGATTACTTTTTGGATTTCAAAGGCATTAAAAGCCACATCATATTTGCAAATGGTTGCAGATTAAACAGAGGACAGGAAAGAGGAAGTTGGATTTAGGATTAGCTGGGTCCCAGGCTGGAAGACAAAGTCAAGCACTTTTAATACTGCAGAACAATCTGATCAGATAGCTTCACACTGGATGAGCTGAAACTGACCCTGGAGACCTGTATTTTACCTTATATTAAACAACATTACCAAAGGAATGACTCAACTTTAGTCATCATGAAAGACAGCTGTTAAAACCATAATAAGGAATCAAGGGCCCCAGTAAACATGTTTTCTGAAGTACCGATCACTCCATTCTTTCAAGAGGGTTCTCACTTTTTAGGGATCTTATTGATACGACTTAAAGAGGGAATTGTTCAGTAAGCACAACAGTCCACACATAATAAAATGGAAAGGCTGATTGTAAAGGTAAAAGCAGACACAAGGGAGAGCCGTTTTGTCTGCAGAAGTCACAGTCTTGTAGCTGCACAAACTGGTACCTGGGCTTCAGCCTGCAGCCTATGAAATGTGGAGCCCAGATCCAAGGCCCCTCCCAACAAATGAGCATTTCTCTGCAGGTCCCAGCTTTCCACAACCCAGAGTCCTGTGGAGCTGAGCTGAGGGGACAATTGGCTTGGAGACTGTGGAAGGTGCCTAGTCAGGGGCCCCAGGCCATGCAGTGGCCATGATTAGAGTAAGTCAAGGAATAAAGTAGCCAGAGCAGAGTCACATAGACCTGGACAGATACCACAGCTCCAACCCGAGCACTGGGAGAATGAATGTGTACACATCTCCCCCAAAATAAAACTAAGGAGAGTTGTGGGTAATGATGCAGGAGCATAGCAAGATACTCAGCACAGCACCCTGCACACAGCAACCACTAACATAGTAAACACAGCAGTACCTGAAAATCTTATTTTGCTCTGCTTTAGCTACTTATGTGGCTTCATTATTTTATGTACAATTCTCTTGGTAGGAAAGACAAAAAAGTAGGAAAAGACACAAAACTGGAAAGGACCCCCAAAGTCCTCTATCTTGTTCCCTGTTACCAGGCATTTTCCTAATCATTGCTATCTTCTTGAAACTACAGAAGACTTGAACAGCTAAGCTGACCACTTAAAGTCACCCAGCTACTAAGCAGGATAAAACACTGTCATGTGTGTCCTTAGCGGTCCCCGTGGTGTTTTGTTTGAAAGTAGTGAATACAATTTCCTGGGCAATATATTGGAAATGCTAAGAATAAGGCTGTCTCTGTTCTTAAAAATAATTTATAAAATGAGATAAAAGTGTATCAGTTAAAAGGAGCACATGTTGAGTAATCAAAGTGCCATTTCTAAAATATTAGACAGGAAAATGTTAAGGAATCTTGTTACAACCTTTCCTAACGCTTACTATGTTAAGCCAAAAAAAAAAAAAATCAGAAAACATAATCCCATTTGTGTTGTGATTTTAACAGTAAAATTATGTAGCATATATACAGCAAGGGCTGGAAAGGAACTAGGAAAATGACTATAGCTGATGTGCTAAGAAGTTGTATTTTTATCCAGTGACTATAACAGAGTTGGCACAATAAGCATCATGACAGCAACAATCACACAGAAAGAGCACAGCTGTTCACTCACCCAGGGTTGTACAACATGACTGCAGACAGGTTCTCACAGGACTTCGAGAGGTCAGTCATCGACAAGCTGAAGGAGGACAGAAGGCCACTCTAAGAGCAGACACAGGGCAGAACAGTTACCATGGTGGGTAAGAGAAGGCCAGTTCTCTGGACTCTCTGCCTTCAGCCTTCCAGGGACAGTAAGACATATGCACTCCTATTAATGCCCAGAGCAATGGGTCTGAGAACGGCAGCTCAGGGACTGTCAAGGCCCTGCACATTTCACACTCACACCCAGAAAGTGAAGCACACAGGGCCCTGGCAGTCCAGCACTGGGGAAACTCACCAGGTCCCCAACCCTATGGCAAGGCACATGCAGTTACAGTAAAGACCCACAGCACCTTTAAGACCCCCACTCTCCAGCAGGCAGCAGCCCCTGCCATCAGTGGTGCTTACTCACACCAACTGAGTGACACAGACAAGGAGGGAGAGGAGAGAGACCAAAATGTAAGAGCTCGACCCACTCTGGCAAACAGGTTTCCTCCCTCTGAAACCAGAGAGAACCCTGCAGGGTGGCCCTATGCTGGAACAGACAAGTAGCTTCAGTGGCTAGGCCAGCAGCCCTGAAGAAGCCTAGGGCTCGGAGCTCCGTCCACACTTCCACGTAAGTGTTGACAACTTCAGGTAGCCTCTGAAGCAGGTTGAGTGGAGAGGCTGAGTAAATGGGTGGTTAGGGCAAAGGCCCCCACTTTCTGGCCTCAAGCAAGTTGAGAAAATGAAGATGTCTTCCCCTTGATTTCTTCCCTTCTTTCTCTGGTTCTTGGCCTACCTCCCACTCTGTGTACCTTTTGGATGGCCTCATCCCAAGACACTAAGTTGCTCCCAACTCTTCTAACTCAGCCCTGCTCTACTTCACATCCCAAAGAAAAAATCCAATTTACCATGGCTGATTTTGCCCTGCTTGCTCTAGGCCCCAATCTCTGGCTCTCCTACTTGATCAGTCAATCTTGCCAGCAAACTAACTGCCTACATCAAGCAGCTCATACAGCTACCTCCCCAGAGGTCTGTAACCCAGAACACCAGGCTGCTGGAATCACCAGGGACACCTACAGCCCCACTCGACTGGAAGTTCCCTCCTGGAGATGGTGTTTCCTTACCTTCCTCTTCTCCCTGAGCTTGGCAGCTTCCTTTGGGTGATTAAATCGAAACATATTGGTTCTTCCCAAGAGTATCACAGCACCTGAGAACACAAAAGCAGAAATGAATTATGGTAAGCAGTTTGGTCAGCTGACAATGCCAAAGCATAATGGAATTCTACAGTTGATATGAAATTTCCAGTATATTATAAAATAATAAGGAAAAGCTTTATTCTCCAAAGTCTGCTTACATAAGCTAAATTTTAAATCTGCAAAACTTTTATTTTTACAGCCAGATGTCCCAATACTCATGATAACACAGGTAGAAGTGAAGAATCTAAGCCTTGCAGCCTATTATGAGATTCAAAGCTTAATATACTGGTAATTTGACTTTTGATTTCTTGGAAAGAGAAAAAAACAGTTTTCTAAAGAGATATAACAGGAGCAAAGCATATGGTTACAAATCTAATAAATGTTTAATGCTGATAAAAGTAGAAATCTCAAAGAAAAGTGCATTCAAAAAGGAAGCACAGTACAATTGGCAGAGTTCAGGTAACTATTTCTAAAATGACCATAAGATTTTCACCGGAAAGAAATTGTTTTCATGCATGGTGTATTTTTCAAGGAAATGCACTAACTAATCTTATCGAAACCCCATTAAAATTTAGATGGCCACATTAGACATTGAAGAAACAAGAAAGGCTCCTTTGGCTTGACTATACATTTGGGAAAGGCCCCTTATTCAGAAAATAACTGTACAGAAAGCAAAAGAAATAAAGGCAAATAACCAAGGATAACAAAGTCGAGTGACTGCATGGCAAGGGGGAGGGGTAATTTCAGTTTGTTTAGGCAAAAAAAACCCTTTTCAACTCAAATGTGTCCCAGACTCACACAGGAGTCCTGGAGAGTGGTAAGCTCCCTGTTACTGGAGGTAAGAAAACAACGCTGCAGAGGTGATCTGCTATCCTATATGGTCCAATCCACCTGAGTGTCTATAACGCCTATGGACAAATCCCCATGATTGGTCTTTGCCTAGAAAAATGCGATGCAATTACTGTGATCACAAGTGTACAATTTTAGTGACAGTGCAGGCTGTAACAGCTGGACACAGGCTTTTGCAATGAGGACTGTGGCTGGGTCTCGCTGGGTAGCCAGAGGACAAAGATGTGCTCTGTGGGGGAAGGGCACAGAGAGGCTGGGGCTCAGGCAGGAGGATGGCTGTGCCTGGGGCAGGGGAGAATCAAATACAGGGAGTCCAAATAATAGCAGAGTGACACTGCAAAGATGTCACTGAAACAGACAGAGTGGATCAGGACAGCAGTTTAAAGAGTTTTAACTAGCCGTCACAAATTGGTGCACAGTGATAAAACTCACCTAGACATGTTTTCTGATATAAGATCAGTTCCCAACAGTTAAAAACGTAGTGATTTCACATACAACTCTAGATTTCTTTCTAGTATTCCCTGACAAATGTGAAGATAAGAGTAGCAGTAGACCTCTGTTGCTACTTGACCCAAGTCCTCAGGCTGCTGATGTCCACCTCCTGTGGAAAAGGCCCATGACTCCTGGCTGACCAGTCACCAGCCTTTCGCTTGACAGACACCTGCTCTGGGACCCTGCAGGTAATGTCCTAAACCCAGGCACACATTTCTGAGCTTCAGCCAGGATATCCCTTGCCTATCCAGTGTAGTATCTCAAATGTCTCAAGAGGATTTTCATACATAGTGTGGCTAAAACCTAACTAACTATTCCAGATCATCACTACAGAAAGCAGCTGAAGTCTGGTTTTAGTGCATGTCATTATCGAGCAGAAATGGAGCCAATTTGAAAAGCAGAAGATAGATTCAGGATCCTAGAAGGCCATTAGTGGTTACGATCCATTCCATTGGCCTATCTGCTTCTCCCCATCATGTACAGTAGCATTTGTACATTTTCCAAACATGGAAAGGCTCCATGACTATAAAATTAAGAAAGGTGCTTCCCTTGCATTTTACAATGAAGACTCAGAGATATGTGCTTCCCTGAAAGTTAGAAGTTAAGCAGCCATGTCTAGGATATATGTATATTTGATGCTCTTAAAAGTTACATGAGAGATTAATAAGGCAACGGACTCCTGGGTGTTAATTACATCTAATCCAATTCTTTTTTTTTCTGTTAATCAAATGCCTGGCCATGCAAGTTGAAAACTGCTAAAATATGTTAATAGAAAAATAGGCTAGTATTTCAAAGTTATATTTCAAGTCATATTAAATCACTGAAAATAATCTTGTCACCCGTGGTATTTGCATAAAATACACATTAACACAAACCCTTTAAGGAATTAAAGAAAGCAAAATTATCCAAGACAATTCATTATTTTCATCTACATAATGTGTGTCAACTGGCCAGCATGTGAAGGGGCTGTATTAAGGAAGGTTTCTATCCCTTTCCTCTAGGACAACTTTTACTAAACAATAAATTTTAAAATTTGCTTCACTGTTGTTGTTCATTCATTTATTCAGCAAATACTTAATGAATGCTTACTGAACACTAATCATTGTAAGGACACAAGAGTTGAACAAGCCAGAAACAGTACATTTTCTTTGTGAAGCTTAAAATGAGAATAGGAGAGGGGTAAATAATCAAATAATCAGGTATAGTAATTGGCCACATAAATGCTGTTATGGCTTATGTCTAGACGTCCCCACAAAGTTTCATGTAGTCATAGGTGAGGCTTTCTTAGAGGCAGCTGGATATAGAGTGTGTGATGCTGGGATTAAGGGTGTGTGATTACTAAATCCCTCTACGTACTGCTCTGGCACTGCCCTAATCCCAGTAGCCTAGATACAATATAAAAGGGGCAGAAAGATGTTGTTAAGGTCCTTTCATTGTTGCTTTGCTACCTTCTGCCAGCCATGAACTGTTTCTCCTCTGCAATAGCTGTCTGCCACACCACCTTGCTTTCGAGTCAGCCAATTATGGATTGAAGCCTCTACAAACTGTGAGCTAAACAAGCCTTTCCTCCTTTAACTCTGGGTGTCACATATTTTGTCTCTGCCACCAGAAAATTAACTAAAACACACACAAAGCTGCAACTGAAAGTACGAGCCACACTCAACACTCACAAAGCAAGGGAAAAGGGCCTGTGCTAGGGTGGGTAGGGAAGTGTTCCCAGAGGGAAATGATGCTTTAATCAAGCTCTGAGGATGAATGGGGAGAAAGGCATGTGGGAAGGTTCAGTATCAAGAAAGACAGATGAAAAATGATTGGAAGACAGACATGTGACCAGAAGAGGAAATAAGGAATCTTATTGCACAAGATAAGGCTTGACAGAAAGGGAGGGAGTGAACACCCCAAATCCTTCAGGATATGGTAAAGCATCTTGTGTTTTATCTAGTTGCAGTCAGAAAACTCTGTAATAGCACAACATGATTAGTTTCAGAAATAGTCTCTAAACTGACTGAAGAATGACAAAAGAGGAGTACAAGTAGAAGTAGAGACAATGTAGTGGTCCAGGTCAAAGAGGATGATGCTTAAGGACGAGAGGGATAGGGAAGGAGAAAACAAACAGGCCTGCAAGCTATGTAAGAAACAAAATCCACTGGATTCAATGATAGCTGGAAACAGAGAAGACAAGGGACGTAAGACATCTCCTGTGTACTGCATTACCAGCTGTGGAACCACACCAAGTCAAATGCTGGAAAAGGACTATGATTGGGGTAGAGTAATGATAAGTTTTGTTTTACCTGAATTTGAGATACCTTTAGGAAATAAAACTATGAGCCCAAGGCTCTAAGAAATAAGTTCTGGGATATCTACTTACTTACCTGATACCTGTGTATGTATTTATGTGTTTATATGAGCATATATATACATGTACAAAGATATTAGGAAAATATACACTATTTCTTTCTATATATTTCAAAGTTCTAATAGACGAAGCCACAAATATGAGAATGAGAAGAGGGAGACAGAGGGAAAAGGACCTAGGACTAGTCACCTGGGGGAATGCTGGCCTTTAATGCCAAGAAGAGAAGGGAGATCTTTCTTGCAAAAGTAATGGAGGAGGGGCATCAAAGAGAGAGGAAACCCCCAGAAGCCAAGGGAAGAAGCCTAAAATGCAGAAGTCTGCTGAGAGATCCTCCAAAATGATGATGTTAGGCCACCACTGAGTGCGGTAGCCTTGGTGACCACTTAATGGGAAGTGACCAAAAGTCAAGACAAAGGGGCTGAGAGGTAGTGAGAGTTAAGGAAACGTAGATCTACTGAGCGCAACAGCCCTTTGAGGAAACCATGCATGAAAAAGACAGTGCTGATAGTAGTCAGGGTAGGGGCGTATACTTCCCACTGGATGTCTTTTAAAACTCATGAGCATGCTTAAAAAACAGGTGAACATGCTTAAAAACCAGTAAACAAGCTGAAGAAGACAGATGGTCTAATGAATGAGTGACTGAATAAATAAATAAATGTGTGAATGAATGAAACACATGAATGAGAATGGCTGATGGTGTGAAGTTTCTGAATCAGACCCAGAACATGTGTCCTGACTAGAAATCTTGGCATGGGGAAGGAGAAGTCATGGGGTGACCTCTCTAGAAATCAGTCTCCTCATCGACTCACCAAACAGGGTAATTTCTAAAGTTCCTTCCAGATTTTAAATTCTTTGTAACTATGAACTGCTTCTTGCTCTGAGGTTAATGTAATTAATTGCAGCAGATGGACTTTTTGTGATACACTTAATTTGTAATTTTGAGAGCATGCCTAAACCTCCTTGAAATATATGATGGCTTCTTTGAGATTACTTCAGAGCTTGTTAAGTATCTGAAGACGGACAAATTCCAGATGGTTTTAAAAGAGAATGAAGGAGAAATAATATTGTCAAAGGGGAGACAAAGCCATTTATTAAAAAAAAAAAAAAAAAAAAAAAA